CTTGTCGTGGCACCTCCAGTTGTGTCTAGTTCTAGCTTCAAGCACGCAGCTTGCGGCTCCCGGCTCTCGGCACTCGGCTCTCGGCTTCAACGTAGCTGTGAGTGCAGCTGGCAGGTTTGTCGGAGTCGCAGTTTTGCCTGTTGGTGTGATTTATGGCCACTTTATGGCATAAATGTAGGTGCGGCCGCACATAAATCATCGTCCCAGTTGCAACGCGTTGCAGAATTTGCTGCAACTCGATACGTACTCAATACTTTCAGGTGGTGGTTGGGGGAGTTGGGCCAAAAGGCAATCGCTAATTTGCTTGGCTCAAAGTAAACCAAAAACAATAAATTTAAATCATTCGTTGGCGGCCCTAATTACAACTTGAGTATCCAAATGTATCCAAAGACTTGACAGTGATTCATCATTAAACTCGGCTTTCCGCTTTCCGCTTTCTGTTCACAACTATTTCTACCGCCTAACACCTGTTATCCTTTGGCCTTCTGGCAAGTCATCTAATAACAAGAGAACACCCCTATTGAAATCACTTAATTCTTTTTCGTATTGGTCACGAATCCCTTCCACTAGTCACACTACTTAACCACTCGAGCCCAATTATGAATTGTCCGATCCAGATCCCGATCCCGATCCCAAATCCCGGCAATAAGTGTGCCACTTGAGGGTATAATGGCTCAACCAAAAAGTAAGTAAATTAAATGGCCACCGAGCAGCCAGCTGGCTGGCACTATGCCCAACCAATTTGGGTTTGCTGAGTGCCACACCCACAATTACACCCACGCACTCTACTCTCATTACACATGAATAATTCATGCAGCAGTAGCTGCTACAAATCTGCTGTTGCATTAATGAGCTGCGCTTCTTATTTACCATGATACCGCACAAAAAAAAAAGAGTCATATAAGGAAAAAGAGAGGGCACAGGAGGAAGTGGGAATATATATAGAAGAGAGAGTCAAGTTTAATTAAAAGCCAAGCCAAGTCAAATTGTCTTATCATAATATCCCCAAACGATTTTCCCATTCTCTGATTTTTGCACGACACGAAGACAGTGCTGCAAAATGTCAGAAATTGTTTAGTCATTCCGCTGGCTCACACATCAATCATAGCACGTCGGACAGCTGAGTTAATGGTCAGGGATAATGTGCTGGGAGTTTGCGTGTCCTCTCACTCATCCAATCTGAGTGTGTGTGTGTGTGCAGAGGACTTTCAGTTGGACAAGTGCATGATTAATTATTTTATTATCTGTAAATTGGTTTTTGTGGCAACGCTAGAAAGGCGAGCTCCTACAAAGTATTTCCTTTCCTTTATCGCGTTTCTCAAAAATTCATTGCATACTTTAAGGCGCCCATAACATTTTAAAAGGTTTTCCCAATCTTGACTGTCTATTCCATCATCATTAATGCTGAGAAAACACCGCATCAGATTTTTCAAAATCGCTCATTTTAAATCACATCAAATTGAATAAGAACTAGACATATTATCTTCTTCCTTGGTTTGGTGTGAGTTGAAGTAAGACAAAATCCATGTGTTAAGTAACAACAATGAATACAATCTTCAGTGATAAATTAATATACATTTTAAACTCTTTGCAAAGCAACAAAAACCAATTATTATTAAATAAAAGTAATAATATTTTTAATTTACTACTTTAATTTATTTTTATTGTTATTTTAAACTTTTTGTATATACAACTATTTATTTTTTATTGGCCAGCATTTTAAATTTTGAATGCTGCTCCGTCGAAAGTTTAAAAATGCAAATAGGAATGAACAAAAAATAATAAATCCAACGGGATCGCACTTCTAAAGAGATATTTTGATTTCACATATTGCTATGTATTTTTATTGTGTCTCGAGACAGAATTAAAAACGTTTTTGCCTCATTCGGTGGGTTGAAGCTTTCCGGACTGTCGACCGACTTCCACTTCATATTTAAGTGGGCGCAATATTTGAAAAGATTCGCAACATGTTTGCAAACAAACGCGTAAAACAGTGAATATATTGAGAACAACCATTAAAATGCTTTCGACATTTTTACAGGCCTGTGTGTCACAAGTCGAAGCTCATAAATCGATGGCACCCCCAAAAGATGCTCCCGATTTGTGATTATTTAATGGCCATGATTTGGCCTGTTTTTAATTTGGGGGCACATTTTAATTGCTTCGGGAGCACAGCTCGTGTTCAATTAGCAGAGTTTTATGACTCGATGCGGCAATATAGAAATGTATGTTAAAATTTGTGTTGACATCACAATAAGCTGTTGAAATATTGAGAGAAGTATTGCAAAATCATTGCGATCTTCTATCTAATGTAATCTAGAAAAAATCATGCTTTTATAAACCGTGGGAAACTTGTACCGAATGAAACTAATCATACGATTTCATAATTAGGTCTAAAGTTAAAAATTTCAAACATGATATCAGATGTATACGCAAGTTAGATCAGCTCATTACCACCATGGGGAGCCGATGCCCAAAACTGCAGCTAAACACGGAAGCCAATTAGAGCTGCATTGAGCTGGTCCAATTGAAAAATAGACAACTGTACTCTCCACACATACGAGCTGGTCCAATTAGCGGTCAGATCATAAACCAAACCCAACAACTAACTCAATCATTATGCAATTAGGCAAGAACCGAAAGGGCAACAGCTCGCATCAGAACACAACACAACAGAACACAGCAGAACACAATGTATCCCAATTCCATAAACATAACAACCATAAGCATCTACAGTCCATAGTCGTCTATAGGTCCCTTAGACTCGCAGCTAGCTAGATATGGGGGCAGACATTAAATCACACGACCCATTAATAAAATTGTTAAAGTTCTACGCCGTCTCGACATTTTAATGGCCAAACAGAAGTTTCAAATATTTAATCATTGTCGCTTCGTATCATTCCCAGCCATAGATATGCCATAATTCTGTTGAAAACAATTTGTATGCTTTGATTTGATTTGTGGAAAGCAGCAGCCGCAGCAGCCACAGCAGCAGCAACAGCGGCAACAACAACAGCTCCACTTGCCGAGATCTTGGGGCATGTTGAGCGCTTGCAGCTGCAGCTCTGTTTATGACCCTGTTTGTAGGCCATTAAATGATTGTGTAAATTCTGGAAAAAAAATCAAATTTGTACAATTTAGAAGAAGACATAAAAATAAGAGATACACAGATGAGTGTTAAATATGCATTTGCTAGCTGCTGAGGTCAAGACAATCTATTAACGCAATCGTTTCGATTCTCATCGAGTTGATTTCCGGCAAAGCAGCCCAAGCGAATACTTATTATTTAAGTTTCAATTAAGTCTTATAAAGTTGTTATGATTGACTTTAATTGACTTCAGATAATATGTAATACCACAAGGAGTTTATTCTTCTATTATTTTTATATATTTTTAATTATACAAATACATATACATATATATGTATTAATATATGTATTTCTGTAAATAAGAATTCAAAGCTAACCGATGAGTGCTGAAATTTAAAATGTTTCTTGCTTAGAAATAATTGTTAAAAAAAAGTCCTAAGATTCACAAATTTTTATTTATTTTTAATAGAAAAAGTAGAAATGCAAACAATAATTTTTATATTTTGCTATTGCGACTTTTATTAGTGGTTATTTATTCTGGAACATGGCATTTTTCTGGTTTTTATTTTTTTGAGTATCTTGATGAAATCAATTGTTTTTTATTGCTTTTCAGCGGAACTAACTTTATCGGTCGACAGATGAACGTTTTTTTATAACTTCATCATTTTAATTAATACGAAATTGTATGTAAGATCAAGGGTATGCAACAAGAGGTATAAAATCTAAGGAAATTAATATTTATGAGGGCAGTTCATAGAGTGAACAATTTCCACAGAGTTGCTTTTGTGGCAACTGTACAAGTTTTGGCTGGAGTTGTCGGAACTCTGCCACAACATATTTGATTGACAATTGTGCAACATGGTATGCATGGGTAGGCATTGCTAGGGGGCCGAGTGGGCTTTGAGGCTACAGGACTTATCAGCGCACAGCATCATCTAATGTCACGCCTGACATCCACTGGCGTTGCATGTAGAGGCGAAGAGAGGCTGGGGCCACCCCAAACTGTCACTTGACGCTAGTCGGTTGTTGCTGCATTTGACAGAGGATGGATTTTCATCTGCTGAATGGGGCGCACGCGCATCGTCCTACCCCAAGTAGCAAATAGCAAGCCCCAAGTTGCGAGCAGTGCGATCCTAGGCAGAACATGTGTTGCATATTACTTGGAAAATGCCTGAAATAGTTGCGGCCGCAGATGTTTGGCAGCAGGCGACCTGGGCTGTGTGTGCCCCCCTTCTTCTTCTAAACTAATGCCCAGCTAAGGTGACGTTTTCATTTTTCGGAAAATCCCCCATTTGACTTGGTCGCTGTCGTCGTTGTCGTCTTTGTTGCCGCTGTTGCCGCTGTTGCTCTATTTTTAGTGAGTGGCAGGCGCGTGTTGGTTGGTGGCGATCACCGAAACCAAACCAAACCGAACCGAACCGAACTGAACCGAACCGAGGCCGCCCTCGTTGTGTCGTGAATGAATTTATAAATAAAATCAGAGATCGCGGGCCGTCACTTCTGGGGAAATCCATCCGTGAAAATGTAAAATATCTCCTGCTGCGTTTTTCTTGGCGCACTTTCATTTAATTTCGTGACTCTCCACACTTTGAATCTGCCTCTTTTTTTCTTTTCTATTTTTTTTTTTTTTTTTTTTTGTTTGTAAATTTTCAATAAATGCTTTATTATCGCCCCCGATTGGGGCTGCAACTTGTGAGTCGAGTTTGTTGATTGTTGTTTCCTTACTATTTGAATGTTTTACTCTTGATAGGCTGCTGATGGCAGGGCTTCTAATGAATTGTGTCGGCTCCTGTGTAGCTGTCGTCAGCTGAAATTTATGTATTTTAGTTGTTTGTTTTAACACCAGCGAGTAACTTGAGATTCGATTAGGGCTGCTATTTTTTGTGTAACCAAAACTGATCGCATTGTCGCTTTCAAAGACCTTTATTATTTATTGCTAAATTGTTAATTAAATGAAGAGAAATATTTAGATATCTAACTCTGACGATCCTCAATCTTGACGAGAACTATTAAGCCGCCCACATTCTTGTCGCCGGTGAAGAACGTTATGATGGCCTTGACCACGCCGCGAGGCACCTGCTCGGGCCAATCCTCAGTCTTGAACTGGACATTCTTGATGTAGAACTCGCCCTGCGGAATGGGGCAGGTGTTGTCGTCCACCAGTGGGAAATTTGTGGTTTCGCCATCGTTGACCGAGGGCTGAACAAACTGCACATAGAACTTCTTGAAGCACTCACAAATGCTCGTCTGTGGCACATCGAAGACCATCCGCTTGAAATCGCCATCGCCTTGGGGACTGGAGTACAATTCCACCGACACCTTGAAGTCATCGTTGTCCATGTCTCCAGCGAACGAGAAGGAACCGTTAATCGCTCGCTCGCGTCCAATTGTCTTCAGATTATCGAAGAAGACGAGAGTCTCCGACTCGCCCTCAAAGGACTCCAGTTGCTCATTGCTCACCTCATAGGCTTGCTCTGCCTGCCAATTTAGAGATCTCTGAATTGATATTCCCTGCCCGGGTTAATACTTACTTACCGCAGTATTGAGCACCAGCTGGGCGACCAGCAGTATCACTGCCAACTTCATTTCGATGTCGGACCGTACAGTGGCTAAGCGTGACAATTTACTGTCCTATTTATTAGATGCCCCGGGTCCATTTGCGGCACGCGATTTTCGTGTCTTTGGCGAGCTTCGTGTTCGTCGATCTTGTTAACAACATTGTTGCACTTGATAATTAATTACAATAACCTTACATGCTTCATAACTGATTTGAAGTGTAATTATTTGCATAACTCATATTTGACGAGGCAACCGTTAAAAAGTTAAAAAGTGTCTGTATTAGAAGGGCATATTACCCGGTTCTGTCTATGCATGATTCAAGCCGATAGTTTGTAACTACAAGCAATATTTTATAAAAAACCATTTTAATATTAACATCATTTATTCGATAATAATCTTTTTCGCATCTGAATTTTGCTATGAAACTGAATTTTTATAATTTTGTAATTGTAAATGTTTTCATACAAAACTAATTCGATTTTAGCATAATTTATTAAATACAAATCAAATTATTCTCAATTCTGCCATCGAGCAGAATCTTTATATACTAAAAACAATTTGTTTTTTTAAATTTATTATTAACTTCATTTATTCGATATTCATTCTTTTTGCTATCAAAATGAGATTTACCATTTCAATAGTAATTGTTTTTAAATATTTAAATTCTCAGTCATAAAAAAAAGTTGTATAAATTTGTTAGATTATTTTACTATACAAATTAATTTAAATAATTTTTTAATAGTTGTTTTTAATATTTAGAATTTTTATGTGTATAGAAAATCAATTCAATATTATTATTATTTATTCGATTTAATCATTTAATCCTCGATTTGCAATTGACACCAGCTTTATAATTTCGAGTATTTAAATATTTTCATTTTCTTTATTTATGCACATTCAATTCGATACTTTATTTATGCACAATCAATTCGATACGATACACGATTTTCAATTGTTCCAAAGAACATACCAAAACAATTGAAAAAATTGATTATATAAAGAAAGAGATCTGAATAATCAGATCAGCCTAAGTAATTTAAACTGATTTTGTGGTATATTTTTTGTCTATTTTATTTGATTTGATTAAATTTGTGAAATGGTGATTAGTTATCCACCCCCAAAGCTACACTTTAAATCATTCCTAAATTAAGCATTCACATATTCGATTATAATCAGTCATTTAAAGGCGTACAGTGTCTTTTAACGAGAAATCCACTTTCAATCGCATCGACCAAGTGAAGCCAACCCACACATTTGCCCACTTGAACAAGTAAATATCTCAAGAGAACTAAAGCCCAATTAACGCCTTAGAACGTGCCACATGTGTTGCGAAAAAAGCGGCCAATTGACTTATGCAAAGTGGGCAAAAGTAACGGCAAAACTGGTGGCCGCAGTGTCTGACCCGATAGGCCGACCAACAAATTGAGGCTCACGTAGAGAGAACACCCACAATGTTTGATCCGCGCCAGCGCAAGACCTCGAAAATCAATCAACCTCGATTTTCTATATACATTTTTTATTGTGGTCTTTGCGAAGAAACACACAAAAAACGTATCGCAAAAACAAAACGCTACAAAAAAATCTTAATAATAAATTGCTGTGATTTAATCAATTGTAGCAGGTGTTTTACAACTGCACGCAGTGATACAGCAACAACAGCAACAACAACAGCAACAACTACAGCAACAACAACAGCAACAGCTGCAACAACAGCAACAACAGCAGCAACAACAATAATCGGAAAACTGGTTCCGCTGAGTCTTCAACTCCTTCTTGTGCTTCGCTGCTCTTGTGGGCTGTTTGATTTTCTCAAATTAGCGCGAGCAAAGCAATAATAAAAGTATTAAAAAAAAACGAAGAGAAAAACAGAAACAAACCTGCTGCACAAACAGTCGTCCCACTGGCCACATGCAACATGCTGCACATATGCACACATGAGCCACACTTTATTTGCCACATGTATTTGCAATTGAATCGCAAATCTGATTTCAGCAGTAAAGCTCAAAATTAATGCACTAACCAACGACAATCTTCGATCTCGCGACGCAAATGGGCTTTACATAATTTAGAGCCCACACAGCCGGCAAACCAGTGCTTGTCAAGAGTGCTGCTGTCTTCTGACAGGTATCTCAATAATGCCAGACTTAGAAAGCTCACATCAATTTGCATATCGAATGGTGTGCAGATTGAATTCATTTTCATCGCATGTAGGACAGACGAACATAAGTATATACTCGTATCTGCATCTATTCTACTGTATCCCCGAACTTATATTACAAATTTTAAATCTTCAGCTCTTATAGTCTCTGAGATCTGGTTGCACGACTCAGCTGTTGATACCTTGCAAGTCGCATACAATATTTGCACAACTTAATTAAGCCCATTTTTCTTATTCCATTTTTAATGGGAAATAATAATATAATCTTCATAAAAAAAAAACAAGTTATTTTTGGCACGCTAAAGATAATACATCCTTACAGAGTGCAGTCCAACCCAGTGATAGCATAAGATATATGTATTCTGTACTATCCCATTTTGGTTAAAATATTTGCTTAAAATGTGCCAGAGTATTCTGCGGTCAGTTGTGCCCGACTGGCAAGTTCTCAATTTTTCTTTAAGCTTTTGAATTGTACCATTACGTACCGGGACCGGTACCGGTAGCGAATCGTAAAAATTAAGGTACCAATTTGTAACCGATTACCATAAACATTTTTTGAAAAATACCGGAAATTTTTACAGTTTACGTACCAGAATCAGAGTTGGAACGTAAATTTCGATTGAATTATACTCGACTATGCGGATAGTATGGTTATTATATAGAAGTGACGTATTTATTTGCACAATAGTTTACAATATCAGAGATAATCCCAATATGAAAAACTTAGTTCAGGTATTCAAATATTGTCAGTTCGAATTTCAAATGACATCTTGTCAGATTGTCGCATTGAGTTCAGCATATATTATGTGTTCTGGCATTTGCTCTTTGATTGATAGTAGTGGCATGCATCAATCAATTGCCGGCCACAGTGGTCCAGCTAGGAAACAAATCGTGTAATCGAATGCCTCATCATATCTCACGTGCAACGCCTCAGCTTGGACTGCGAGCCGAGTGGGTCGCCGTGTGTGAGACGGTAGCCCGAAGCCACAGTGGGGCAACCAAGTATGCCATTTGGCCCAAAAATATATATATATATATATGTATATATTTATATGCATATATGTGTATATGCAACGGCTGTTGGTGGATCAGGTCGCCAAGTCCATTGCGCATGCGCACCGCATGACGTCCAATAAAATTAAGCGCGTGTTGCATTTGTTGTTGTCTTGTTGCAGTTGTTGTTGCTGTTGTTGCAGTTGTTGTTGCTGTTGTTGCCCACTTGACCAACAAACGAAACAACACGTACAAAGTTTGACGCGTGACGTGCTTGGTTAGCTCATTAGTTACACTGGGCAGCAAAACACAAAACACAAAATACAAAACACAATTATTAAACACTAATTTAAGTTGCCTTGTCGATGGAAAAAAATATATTCAAACTTACCCGAAGAAGCAAATTTGTGTGCTTAATATAACGATTAATTATGTTAATTGATGTGCATGTTCTACAAGAAGTTTAATATTCATTTTCAAATTTATAATGTGTCTTTTTGTATAAAGTTGTAGCAAAGACTATAAACTAAATACATCTCTATATATAAAATAATAGCTTTACCAAACGAAGGCTTTATAAAATAAGACATAAATTTGGTGTAAAGTTTTAAGTAATTCAATGAACTTAATTACACTTCAGCCTTAGTCTAAATCTACCGATTAAAGAAAGTCTTTTTTGGAGGTGTTAAATGTGGAAAAAGAATCGATTTTCTTATAGTTGGCTTAATAGCTGTTTTGTTTGTCTATTTTAATTTAAATTGCATATCTAAATAGAAAGTTATATTCAATTATTTTTAATTATTTATTTATTTGGGTATTATCGAGTTTGTTCTTTTAATCTTTCTGTGAATTTTACTGTTTTAATTATCTATTATATTGTGTTATATAAGAAGTAATTGAAGACCCCATTATTAATTCTTTTAAAATTTGAAACATTTTAAAATGATCTTTAATATTACATGAAATAAGCGCAGAATATCACGACTGATTTGCGGTTTCTGGGTTTTTGCTGATCTGGGTTGTGTAGTGTGCATTGCCACTGCCACTTGTGGCACAAACAACACCGCGTACACCAACACAAGGGCAACAACTTTCGTATTAGGCCAATGCGCCAACAACAAAATGTTGCGAACAGCAATCGGAGTCTCCATGCTGGAGTCGCAGCCGAATCCGAATCCGCGGAAGCCGCTCACGCCTGTGTAGGAAGCTTTGCGCAGAGAGCCTTTTAACATTTGTGGCAAGTGGCACTCGGCTCAGCACCACAACACCACAACACCACAGCACCACCCCACCCAATCCCACAATAGCCACTGTGCTCTTGAGTGCTCGTGGCAGTTAATTTTCGCAACGACGCAATAGAGCCGCTGTGCAGCTCCCACGAGGCTCCCTCCGCAGCTGCAGCTGGTTTAACAACCTGCCGACGACGGCGTCTTATCACCTGACTCTGCCACAGCATCGTTGCCAGCTGTTTGAATACTCTTGCTTAAGGTATTTGAATTCGTTGCTTATATTTGTTTGACAAACTTCATATTTCTATCTCGGCTAGGACAAAAAACTTGACACCAATTCGACACAAACTATAACGTTCTAAAAATCATTGTTTTCTCTCTCGACTTGTGGAATATACTACTGTAAAAAAAGATTGTATTCTACAGTATTTTATTACGAATTAAAAAATACAAATAAATTGTAGACCAAATTTTCAATTCAACAACAAAAAATTCTCAAAGGAAAGATTGGGTCTTCCTTTACCTTACTTCGGGAGACATTTCTTTTCAACATTTATAAAAAATTTGTTTGCTTTAAGGAAACTTAGTTTTAAAGCCGGATGAAAGAAAAACTATCAGACTTTTAGATGTTTTTTTACATGTACATCACTAAATACGATTTACATC